TCATAAGTTTAGGCTTTATTGATGGCAAGATTTTAACAAATATAGATAATGTATTATTTAAACACATCATTCTGAATGCAAAATGTGACTCTGCTAGCATCACAAAGACATGTGCTCCTCTACCACCTTGGTGTACATTGGGGATGGGAATTATGCACCCTCCAGATGTTGTAGTCTCAGCTCCCAAAAGCACTAGCTCAGCAGTAAACAATTATGCAGTTCAAGGGAACAATATCTGGAAGACCTTTTATTCCCACCTCTGGTGGAAATGAACCCTGCAGTCAGCAAAAAGCATTGTCTTTCTTTTAAATGATACACATGCCCATAACACCATTCAGAAGTTTCCAAAATGTTCCCTTGACATCTGCAATATCACCCTTCATCAATCAGATAGTCTTGTCTTGATTTTTTTTATTATCTCTTTTAAAGGACATTTTTTCCTGCTCAGTTTCACAAATTTCAGAGGATTGTTGTTAAGAGGAACTACTATCTATTCTTCCTCCGCCCACCAATCCGGACATTCAGGGTGAGAGATTGTGCAATCTTGGACAAATCAGTACATGTCCACTACCGGTGGTAGCACTAACTATCGTAAGTATCTTAAAAACCAAATATATTATTCCCAAAATGCACATTTTTTTCTTTTAAAATACATCACATTTTATTAGACCTACTCTATACACCAAACACTGAACAAAAACAAATTATGGAATACACCCAGGATATATGTAATTTGTTTTTCATTACTGAACACCTTTCAAAAATCAGCCCAGCTTGATACTTAAAGTCTACTACTTCCAGATTTAGTGATAAAAATGCATGCATATTTACATCTATGCATCCATTTTAATTATCATTTGCATATTAGACAACATGCTTAATTAATGACAACTGACATATATGCCAGTGACAAATCCAGATTTACCACCTAGTTTGTGAACAGCAGAAAACTCTCAGCCTGGGATTAAAGGAATCCACATTTCATCCCATTTATCAACCCACCCTTCACGGATATCTCTGCTGATCACATAAGAAATATACATCTCCCTGAGGACTTGCAATTTTCACTGATATTGGAAGCTAAACAGGGTTTGGCTTGATGAATACTTGAAGAGAACCACAAATAATGCATGGGAACTTTAGGTATACCTAAGAGAGAATACTGTCTGAAAGCATGAAGAGCCCCTTTAAGCAGGAGTTTAGTTGGGGAGAAGGACCAACTATCTGACCCAGTCAGCACATATTGATTAACTTTTATGCTTGGGACCATAAGCGTTTTGGATTTTAGGATACCTATGTTAGCAAACACGTACATAATGAAATATCTCAGACATGGAACCCAAGCCTCAACATGAAATCTTATAAGCACAGCCTGAAGCAAGTTTTATATAATATTATAATATTTTTGTGCATGAAACAAAAGTTTGTGTACACTGAATCATAAGAAAATAAATACCACTATCTCAGTCACTGATGCGGACACTTTGGGAATATTTTGGATTCTGGATATGGGCCACTCAACTTGTTTTCTTCTATTCCGTAGCCATGTCCATTTTCTTGCATGGGGGGGGGGGGGATAGGACTTTCTCTGAGGTTGTCAATACACTGCAGAATTATAGCAGTTTGACATTATCTGCTGTCACTCAATGCTATGGAATTCTGGGATTTGCAGTTTTATGAGATCTTTATCTTTCTCAGTCAGTGCACTCTAATGTCACTGGAAAACTACAACTCCCAAGAATCCTTGGAAAGGCACTATGGCACTTTACAAGACTATAATTCAGCAGTGTAGATAGATCTCTTAGGGTCCATCTACCCTGTAGAATTAATGCAGTTGGGCACCACTATGGAATCGGGGACATGTAGTTTGATGAGGTAGCACTCTTTGACAGAGAAGGCTATAGGCCTTTTAAAATCATAACTCCCATGATCCCATGCCATTGAACCCTGGCAGCTGAAATGGGTATCAAACTGCATTGATCGCACAGTGTAGATGCACTTTCAGAAATAATCGTATCCCATTTAATTTGTAATTGATCCACTCCTTTGGACTTCACACAAATCTACCATTTGCCATTATTCAGAAATAATAGCAAGGAGGAAGGAAATATGTGCTCTGAGTGATGATGGATGCACTCTCTCCAACGGTGACACTGGCCCCATCTGCGCTGCACAGAATGCCGTTTGAAGCTGCATTATATGGTCAGTGTAGGCTCATACAATGCAGACTACACTGACCATAGCATGTTATTTCAAACAGTATTATACAATCAGTGTAAAACTGCATTATGCAGTATGAAACTGCATTATATGGTCAGTGTAGGCCGCATTATATGAGCCTACACTGACTATATAATGCAGTTTCAAATGGCATTATATGGTCAGTGTAGGCTGCAATGAATGAACTTATACTGACCATATAATGCAGTTTCAAGTGGCATTATATCAGTCATGGGCAAACTTCGGTCCTCCAGGTGTTTGGACTTTAACTTCCACAAATCTTAACAGCCTACTGGCTGATAGCAATTGTTGGAGTTGAAATCCAAAACACTTGGAGGGTCAACGTTTGTCCATGCCTGCATTAAGTGGTCGGTTTAGGCTGCATGGCATGAGCCTACACTGACCATATCATGCAGCTTCAAATGGCAATATATGGTCAGTGTAGGCTGCATTAAATGAAGTTACACTGACCATATAATGCAGTTTCAAATGGCATTATATGGTCAGTGTAGACCACATTAAATGAAGTTACACTGACCATACAATGAAGTTTCAAATGGTATTATATGGTAAGTGTAGGCTGCATTGAATGAAGTTAAACTGACCATAGAATGCAGTTTCAAAAGGCATTTATCAGGCATGGGCAAACTTTGGTCATCCATTTGTTTTGGACTTTAACTCCCACAATTCCTAACAGCCAACTGTGGGAGATGTTTGCCCATACCTGCATGGTATGGTCGGTGTATGAGTCTACACTGACCATATAATGTAGTTTCAAATGGCATCATAAGGTCAGTGTAGGCTACATTGAACGAGCGTACACTGACCATATAATGCAGTTTCAAACTGGATTCTGAGCAGTGTACGATGGGGTTAGTCAGTCAGTGTCACCGTTTGAGAATGCGGTTAGAGCACGTATTTCCTTCCTGCTGATTTTTGGAATCAGTGCTGTGGAATCAATGCACTCTGGCACCCATCTGCGCTGTCATTGACGAATAAATTCCTCTTGGGTTGTTGGTTTTTTCGGGCTATATGGCCATGTTCTAGAGGTATTCTCTCCTGACGTTTCGCCTGCATCTATGGCAAGCATCCTCAGAGGTAGTGAAGATGCTTGCCATAGATTCAGGCAAAACGTCAGGAGAGAATGCCTCTAGAACAGTGGTTCTCAACCTGGGGTCCCCAGATGTTTTTGGCCTACAACTCCCAGAAATCCCAGCCAGTTGACTGGCTGTTAGGATTTCTGGGAGTTGAATCATAGAATCAAAGAATTGGAAGAGACCTCATGGGCCATCCAGTCCAACCCCCGCCAAGAAGCAGGAATATTGCATTCAAATCACCCCTGACAGATGGCCATCCAGCCTCTGTTTAAAAGCTTCCAAAGAAGGAGCCTCCACCACATTGGCTGTTAGGAATTGTGGGAGTTAAAGTCCAAAACAAATGGAGGACCAAAGTTTGCCCATGCCTGATAAATGCCTTTTGAAGGCCAAAAACATCTGGGGACCCCAGGATTAGAATCACTGCTCTAGAAGATGGCCATATAGCCCGAAAAAACCTACAACGACCCAGTGATTCCGGTCATGAAAGCCTTCGACAATACATTAAATTCCTCCTGTCGGGATGACAGGTTTGGAGCGGCATTCGATGGGGCCACTAGGCCGAGAAAGGCCTCGGAAAGGTTCGTCCATTTCCGGACAACAAATGGTCAGAAAGAGCGGCTCCGGAGAGGAGGGGGGGGGAGGATGTGGTGTGCCTCAGGTTTGGAGGCCGAGGAAGAACCGAGAGGAGAAGCGGGAAAGAGAGGCCTTCCCTTCTTGGTCGGGGGCTCCTTTGACAGGCCCGGGCCCCGGCGGGCGCCATGCAAAGCAACCAAAATGGCTGCCCCGGGAAAGGAAGGAAGGCAGGCAGGCAGCCCCGCCGTGAGGGGGGACTGTGCCGAGTGACGGCGACGACGCCCCGCCACGCCCCGCCGCAACACACACACACACACCCACGTTAGCTGTAGTGCCCCCACGTCACGCCCCGAGAACATTCACCCTTTCCTTCCTTCTTACCTGGAGCTCGGCCCTCTCCACTTCCCAGTGAGCGCGCTCCATCTCGAAGCGGGCCCACTCGTGCTGGATGTAGTGCAGGATCCCCGGGATGGTGTAGTGTTGAGGCCGGGACAGCTCCGACCCTCCTCCTCCTCCGCCGCCGGGGCCCACTGCTTCCTGAGGCGGCGCCGGGCCTTGAGGTGGCTGCTGCTGTTGCTGCTGAGGCGGCAAGCCCCCTCCAGGCCCCGCGCAGCCAGGGCCGAGCAGCGGAGAGTTGGCATTTCCCGCCGCGGGAGGCAAAGGCTGCTGCTGCTGCTGAGGGGCCCTGGGCATGGTCCCGGCGCCGGGGTGCTCGTCCATTGTCCTCCCTCCCACTTCTTTCCCCGCTTTCCCTTCCGCCTCGCTTGTTCCTTCAGAGGCGCAGTCTGCCAGGAAAGAGCCGGGGACTGGCTTTGGGTGCGAGCCGCGCGTCAGAGCAGCGCCCAAGGCAAGCCGCTGCTTCTGCCGCCGCCGCCGCCGGCCGCCATTACAGCCTCCGCTCCATCATCCTCAGCTCGCTCACTCACTCACCCACCCACACGGTGGGGAGGGGGGGAAGGAGAGGAGGCTCGCAAGGCATGCTGGGAAAGAGCACCCGCCTTGCTCCGGAGTCGGCGTGGTATGCGCCTGCGCGAGAGAGTGCGTCTGAGGGAAGCCGAGGCCAGGACCGGCGGCGTGCGCATGCGCGAGGGAGTCTGAGCGAAGCCGGGGCGAGGAACGCGGGCGTGCGCGTGCGCGAGGGTGTCCGAGGGAAGCCGAGGCTAGGTTCGCGAGTGTCTGAGGGAAGCGTGCGTGCGCATGCGCGACCGTGTCTGAGGGAAGCTGAGGAGAGAAAAAGGGGGAGAGGTTTGTTCGCTCGCTCGCTCGCTCTTCTTGGGCGGGTTTGTTTTCTTTCCAATGTTATTCTTTTCTTCGGCCTCTCGCCTGTTCCTCTATGAGGTAAAAAAGGGGCACAGTTAGCCTTTATAGCAGTCATAGTTCAGGTGTTTTGGACTAACAGCTGACCATATAATGCAGGTATGGACAAACTTCGGCCCAGGTCTGAGGGAAGCGTGCGTATGCGCGGCCGTCTCTGAGGGAAGCTGAGGAGAGAAAAAGGGGGAGAGGTTTGCTCGCTCGCTCTTGTCGGGCGGGTTTGTTTTCTTTTCAGTCTCATTTTCCTCGGCCTCTCACCTGTTCCCCTATGAGGTAAAAAAAGGGGCAAAGCTAGCCTTTATAGCAGGCATGGGCCAACTTGGCCCTCCAGGTGTTTTGGACTAACAGCTGACCATATAGTGTAGAATATAATATAATAATATAATATATTATAGAATACATAGTGTATATATATATATATATATAATACAATATTATATATATATAATAATAAAAATAAATATATGACCATATAATGCAGAATATCTCCGTCTACGAACCCACGCTCTCTCTTCGTTCATCTGGAGAGGCCCTGCTCGTGATCCCACCTGCGTCGCAAGCGCGTTTGGTGGGGACACGAGACAGGGCCTTTTCCGTGGTGCCCCCCCGACTCTGGAACACCCTCCCCAAAGATCTTAGACAGGCCACTACATTGGCAGTCTTCAGAAAGAACTTGAAGACGGCTGTTCCGATGTGCCTTCCCCGAATAGGAAACCTCCAATACCAAGTCCCATAAGCACTTTATTAAAGCTAAGACCACCGCACACTGCACTTGCCCATAAGCCTCATATTCCACCTGTCACATCAGCACTTTTAACTCTTGTACCCTTACTCTGGCCCGGCCCAGTTTTATTTTGTCTTAGTGGATTGTTCATTGCTTGTTGTTTAGATTGCTTTAATTGTTTTTAATTTGCCTAGGTTTTGTATTGTTGTATTGTGTGTTGAGGCCTTGGCCTTTGTAAGCCGCATCGAGTCCTTCGGGAGATGCTAGCAGGGTACAAATAAAGTTTAATAATAATAATAATAATAATAATAATAATAATAATAATAATATATTTCTACAGTGTAGATAAGGCATGGGCAAACTTCAGCCCTCCAGGTGTTTTGGACTTCAAGTCCCACAATTCCTAACAGCTGGTAGAAGAAAGAAATACCAGCTGTTAGGAATTGTGGGAGTTTGAAGTCCAAAACACCTATAAAGACATGGTTTAAAATTGACTAGGTAATATATAAAATGTTTAGGCCCAGAAGTATTCTGATTTCATATTTTTAGAACTGCTATATTTATATTTCTGCATATATAATGAGCTCTTTTGGAGATCCAAGACTAAACACAAATTTGTTAATGTTTCATGTGCACCTTGTACATACTCTGTAGGCAATTAAAAAAAATGATTTTGTGCGAAGTGTACATTGAACCCTCAGAAAGCCAAAAATGTCATTGTCATTTCTGAATTTTGGAAGATTTCAGAATTCTAGATAAGAATTACTCAACCTGCTAATGTTTTACACTTGTGAAGTGTTTCAAAGTGTTCAAAATGCTCCTTGATAGTTCAGTACACATTAGCCATTATCCGCCACACTGCAGACATCGATATGAAATCTGAACACGATAGTACAGGATTTGCATCTCTGACTCTGCCATTTTCTTGCTGCCCTTTTCAAAAAATCAAGTCAACTTGACATGAAACTCTATAGTGTAAAATCACTCACACTCTCACAGCTTCTGGAAGCTGTAAAGAGGACTTTACTTGACAAAGGAACTGCCTGAAACATGAGAAGTAGATGTACATTATCTGGGCATGTGCAGAGTACATTCCCCACATGAAGAAGGCCTATGTCAGATGTTAACCTTTGCAGAAAAGTGGAACATTGCTGGTATTTCAGTTATCAGTGCCTCTTAAATGTTTGAACTGGCATTATACCCAGGAACACACTAAATATGACCTGTTATCATTCAAAAGATAGAGAAATGGAAGAAACGATGGGCTGTTGAAAATAATTTTTGCACTGTTAGTAAGTATTTAAATGACTGCAGACATCTACTTTCCATGCTTCAGTCCAATTCCCTTCTAAAGCCTCTTGCTGATAGTAATTTCACTTGCAGTTCATCATCTTTCAGGGGAAGCTACTGTTTATTGCCCCTTTCGTTCACTTAAAATGGTTTCCCTGATGCTGGGTTATGCCAGTAAAAGATTCTTGGCATTCCAATTGCATTCCTCACATGTCTGTAACTGACTTCTTGGATGGACAAGAAGGCCACTTCTCTCACCACATGTACTGTACATTTATTCTCTCCCCCAGGACATGAAGCAGATTGATTCTACCACTGCTGTTGTTATTATTACACTGTCACCAAAGCAGCAAGGCAGCAAATAGAAACAAGTACAGGCAGCCAGCTACTGGTATCAAATTACTACTATGAATATGAGATTAAATTAAGCGAGGCTAACCTCTCACTGAATAAGGAGGCAGGGCTTTCTGAGTGATCCCTCGAGGGAAGCTTTGGAAACTCCATCTGTAGAAACTCCATTGTGGAGTTGTTTAAAGCAGAGTTAGAGCTTCAGGGAACATGCCTTCTTTGGCCTTTCACAAACTACTCAGTCCTCTTTACAGGCTGGCTCTGTTTCTTAAAAGGAAAAGCTTGCTAAACAAACTATATATATGTTGCACTTTATATTTTCACAGAAAGAGCACTTAAAAGTAGGTTTTCTTTAACAAATGATTCTTTAACAAATGGACTATGGTAAAGTGTCCTTTCCTGCTTTAAATTATTGAGCATAAGGAAGTCTCAAAAGAAATTTTGCTTAAGGTAATTGGACATTTAAGGCCACAGTCTTGAAATCAATGTATAAACTAGAATTAAATATTGCAATTACTGTATATACTCGAGTATAAGCCTAGCTTTTCAGCCCTTTTTTTAGGCTGAAAAAGCTCCCCTCGGCTTATACTTGAGTCAAGGTTATTTATTATTTTACTCTGCTATTAGCATTATTTTTATTTCATGTATTATTTTACTCTATTATTATTACATTTACAGTATTTTACCCTATTATTATTACTACATTTATTATTTTACTTTATTATTATTGCATTTATTATTTTACTCTATTATTACATTTATTATTCTACTCTATTACTACTGTTATTATTGCATTTCCATTATTTTACTTTATTATTATAATTATTATATTTATTATTTCACTCTCTTTATTATTGTTGGAAGGATACGTAAGTACATTTACATTGAAGATATGTAATGATTTAATCAGAGTTGGGCAGTCTTATCTCAAATTACAGTTTTATGTAAATATTAAAAAACATTTCACCTCCTGATGCCTCAATTAATGTAATTTTATTGGTATCTGTTTTTACTTTGAAATTTACCTGTAGTGGTTGCATTTCCCACCCTTGGGTTATACCCGAGTCAATATGTTTTCCCAGTTTTTTGTGGTAAAATTAGGTGCCTCGGCTTATATTCGGGTTGGATTATACTCGAGTATATACGGTATATTTATATTTTAGCCTCTTTGAACACTGCCTTAGCTTCCATGGTAGGAAAAAGGTGACCCAAATCTGGTGTTGTTGAATATAAGGTGCTTCAAAATTAAGAAGACCTCAACATTATAATATTGTTTACAATTTATTTTGTGATCTGTGTTTAAGCTATATCTCACCTTTCAGTCAGTATTCTGTCTCATCACAGAAGTGTCATAACTAAAGCTGCTAGCAATGACCACAATCAATTTTGTGGGATTTTAAAGGTTCTCTTGTGATTTGGAGTTGGAGCTGTTATAAGGAAAGAGGGTCTCCAGTGCGCTGTTAAAAGACCTTAATATCCTCTAAGCAATTTTTGTCTTTATCTATAAATTATAGAAATATTAAGTTATTTTTTCACACTGTTAGTGATTAATGTTCAGTAAGCTCTCTGTAAGGAAACCCAGCACTCATCTATAAATAAGCATGAGGCAAATGATAGAGCACAAAAGAATTCAGAGTCAAAGTTGGCAGTGAATTACACTGTGGTGGTCACAGCTACTCATAGTTATGTGTAATCCAAATGCAGCAAGAAATATTATGGTACCATGATAGAGGTATTTGCACTTCGAAGCCAGTAGGCTTTCTTGAGTGAAATTGTCCCATCTGGCTATTTCTGGGTAGATGTGCATAGGATCGTAGTGCTTATGGGTTATTTTTGTCCCAGCACTACCTTGGACTCCTCCAGGCTATCATTTTCTAGCAAAGGGGGAGGGCTTAATTACTTCTTCTGAAACATCCAGGGGCAGTGATTTACCTTTTGAAAAGATTCTTTAAAACTAAAGCAAAGATGCATTTGCCCTGGACAGAAACGTACACACTACAAATTTATATAGAAATTACAACAGTTTCTATGAATTTGCTTCTTCAGAAGAACCTTTGGGATTATTGCTTGGCCAGATCAGAGGCAAGAATACAAAAAAAAAAAAAAGGTTTCTGCCACTCTCAAATCTGTTTTGTTTTTATTTCCTGTTCCCCTCTTTCCTTCCCCTCTTTTTTATTTTGCAGTCCATATACCTCCAGAGGGACCCGGAAATAAAGAAATGTGGCCCCCTGGACCTACAGTTACCCACTCCAGTAATGACCCCATCTTTATGCCAGTATTTTGACTTATCCCTGCACACAGTTCTGGTCAATGCTTCCCCTGTACTGTTACACACATAGGGACACACAAAGTTGCTCTGTGTTCATAGCATCATTGTGACTTGCATGTCTGAAATAACCATCAAGAGATCAAATTCCAAAGGAGAGTTTCCATATTGTCTGTAATTAACTCAGAAGAAATACCATTCAGTTCACTCATGCAGTTGCCACTAATTGAGTAATAAACCACCAAGTATGTGTGACTTGGAACATGTGCCTTCAAGTAACCTGCCAACCCATGGCAATTTCATCAACTTCATAGGTTTTTCTAACGCACCAGAAGTGGTTTTACCAGTTGCTTCCTCTGAAATATAGCCCACATTTGGCATTCTTTCATCCAAGCACTCACCAGAGCTGATGCTGCTTAGCTTCCAAAATCAGACAGGTTGGGCTTGCTCTGAACAAAAAAAGACTGCAAAATGTTAAGAGGCATGACTCAACCCTGGATACGGTTTCCCAAAGGAAAGGGGAAGATGGTATTTTCTTAAGAAGAACATATTTGTATTTGTGTAGTTTTACAGGACAGGGTTATTATTTATGTTTCAAAATTGAAACACTGTTGTGGAGCATGGAGAAAACGAAATGTATTCTTTTTGTAGTTCATCATTCTAAAGCATTGATTTAAACAGTTTAAATTAAACTTAAAATTGCTGCCAATTTTCTTGAGTCCAGTTTTATAGCTGTATGACTTTCGTATATTTAAGTATCAGTTCACAGTGATACTTGAGTTAGTTGCTTTGGATTAATTTTATCATGTTATAGGATTTATAGTATAGTCTAGGAGTAGGTAAAATTACTATGCGTATCTCTTACTAAGAATCCTAATCTGGATGACTTGAATAATTACCAGTCTAGACCTTTTCTATTGCTTGCAAGTAATATAATGAAGCACATGGCACCTGTTCAGCTCTGGGTATTCTTGGGCAATTCGAAGTTCTTGACCTATTTTAGTTGAGATTGAATTTTGGGAGCAGTTTAATTGTCTGAGAATAAGGTGAGAGATGTTTCAATCAGCAATGCTGAAAATTGTTGATTCTTCTAAGATAACTACTAGTGTGAGGACATGGAGATAAAAAAACCCACTGGTTTTGGCCCCATTTGATGGGTTGCTAGTAGAAGATAGTACGGGCAATGTGTACATTATCCTATGGGGATTCCCACAAAATTTCTTGAAAACAACATTTGTTAATCACATCTGTTACTTAAAAACTGGTAAGGTGAATGAAAATTACAGTCTTGTACTGTGCTGAACATTTATTACAAGGTGTTCCAGGAAATGCCACATCATACTTACAGTCACCATTTTCCTGTTCTGTCTATATAACATAAACATAGAGCTTCTTGAACGATTTGATGAATGCATGCCTAAAGGCTAAATACAATTCCGTTTTTCTCTGAATAAAGCCCTTATAAAAATCGACAGTCATAAGGAAATTGTGGCTTTAAATTGTCATACCCGACTAAAGATCAAGTTTTGTGACCATTACTCATCTGAAAAGGATACTTATGTGAGTGTTCCTATTTACCAATTTCCTGTCATAATTGAGTGGACTACTTGTATAACCGGTTCACAAATTGCAGATGGTGACATTATGGTTGCTATTGTGGAGGACTATCTGAAGAGAAATAGTGTAATATCATCTTTGTATCTAGTATACTTGAACTCAGCTAAGGATTGGCTCAATCCACAGCATGTCAATACAGTACTTATAATAAAACAGTAACTAGGTGGTAGACAGATTATTACATTTACTCTTTACAATTCACAGATAATGCTTTATTATTTATCTGTTATGAAATTTCTCCAGAAATAGTTCTATGCTTGGCTAACTTCAACCTTGTGGAGGTTCCTCTGAAGAAGGCATCTATGGGAGAAGGAAAGGGCAGGGTACACTGCCCTGGGAAATTTTGAAGGAGCACTTTGTTCCAGCAAAAACAGGAGGTCCTTCCTGCATGTTTCCAGTCAAAAACAATATGCATGTGCAGCTGAACTTAGAGATCAGTAATAAAGGGATATTGTATAGTTTCTACATATTTTATATTTTAATTTTATTATATTGTGGCTTTTAAAATATTTTAAAGTAAGAAAAATAGGTGTTAAAAACAAAAAAATGTTCATCGAGGTTGTGCTTAATACAGATTTCCCATATATATGACTTGAATGTATAATATAGTAATTGACTAGATTGATTCAAATGAGTGTGGAGCAGCAATGTAGCCAAGGAATAGACCAATAAAGACAGAGACAGAAGTTACAGTTGCCAGAATGAGCATCTGGCAGGATGAATTGGTGCCCTAACAGGTTGTTTTTATGTAGAGCTGGATAGTTTGAAAGGTAGAACAGAAATAAAAATGTGAAAATAATAGATTAGAGGACTAATCCATTTTTTCAGAGGAAGAGAGATTGGGGCAATAGATATCTGTTCTAGATTTATGAGTTTTGCTTTGATTCTGTAGTAGAAAGACCTTGAACATTCCCTTAATATTGGCAAGTTTTTAGATTTTTGGGGGGAAAATTTGGATGTTCCAGTAGGCTTAACCAATGACTGGGGAGTCTGAAAGCTGCATTCCAAAACACTTTGTGCACCTAAGCTTGAAAACAGATCTAGAGATAGGAATATGGTGACTGTGTTACTGATGGCATCAAATGCTTAGGGTAGTTAAAAAGTGATAGTGAAAACTCAAATTTCTTGGCAAACGATTTTTTGTTGTGTACCTTCACATTGTTTCTGACGTGTAGTGATCCTCAGGTGAATTTATCTCAGGGTTTCCTTGACATTATTTACCTTATTTGTCTTTCTCTGAAGCTTGGAAAGTGTAACTTGTCCAAGGTCAATGAGCAGTGATTAAAATGCTCATCTTCAGAGTCATAGTTCAGTGCTGAAACCACTAGTCCATTTTCTCCCTCTAAATAAGAATAGAAGAATTACCTTATATTACATTCATGTCCTGTTAGTGGGCTTACTAAAAATAAATTATTGGCCATTGTGTGGACAGAATTCTGAACTGAATAGGCACTTGATCTGATCCAGCAAGGTTTTTTTTTATTGTTCCTACAACACTTGAAGTAACATACAGCTGCCACAACTAGAAGCAGCAATAGCATAATGGTCCATGAATGTACTTAATTCTCTTTTAAAACCACCCAGGTTATTACTACATCTTTGAGAAGCAAATTATGAAATTTAAATATATATATTTGAAGATAATATTCTCAGTTCTAGTTGTTGGTGAACACAGTAGGAAAGTGTTTTTATGCTTTTATCTTCATTATGGATTATCCAGCTGGGAGTATATATATTTTGATGTGATCTGGCACAGTTTGTATGACCTTATTCATGAAGTTTCATTTATGTGTCACATTTGAATTACATTTTTTTCTTTCCAGAAGTTTAGTATGATATACAATGATTTATTTCATTGTATCTTCACAACAATCTGGGCAGTAGAATACACTGATGTAAAATACCTTTCCCAGAATGACCCAGCAAGATATTAGATGTTGTGCAGTGTGTAGAATCTTAAGTGCTTGTGATAGGATATTGCCAGTTTCTTTCTCTTACCTTTATGGAGTTGTATCATGAATCCATCTAGAATTAATCAGAATAAATGGAAATACATTATATGAATAGCCTGGTATTGTGACACACACACACCTCCTGGTCTTTTTGTAAGCCCAGCTAAATGTCCCTAAAATGTTCTTGACAGGTATTTTCAGTGCAAGCCAACATCTTCACCTTTTTCTGCTTTTCTATCTTTCAGTAGATGTCTCTGTTGGTGGCACATTAATGCAGAGATAAAAAGCTTTCTATTTTCTAGCCTTTCAATTTTCTCTAGAACATCATTCTTCCACAGTAACATTGGCTCTGTGATTTCCTCCCACATGCCTGCTAAACATATCTTCCTTGGTGGAATTTGCATGATGGGGAGGGCTTCTGCATTTGGAAATACCTGCTATAATGATTTGGCTTGTAAATCATTTGGTAGCTAATGTTGTTTGAGAATAGCTCCCATCTATTTGCCAATTAGTTTGAATAGGCTGTGTACCTTCACCCATAAGCATTATTTGACTGCTTTCTACAATCCTGGGCTGAGGAACTTCAACTCTAATCCCAAAGCCAATTCATGAGAACAGTTCAGTTTCTGATACTTTCACATAATTGGAATTTTGATCTCTTTGATCTCTTCCCTTTCAGTTTTGTATGCTTGCAAGGAATAGAGAGTAGACAACAAAACATGATCAAATTTTTTCTGATGGTGAATAAACAAGGCCAAACAAGGCTCTCTCGTTATTATGAATACATGGACCTTCATAAACGGACAATATTGGAAACAGAAGTAATCAAGCAATGCCTTTCCCGTTCAAAGGAACAGGTACGTCTTATTCTTTTGTAGATGTTCTTGAGTTGAGTTATATGTGATTGTGGTAAATCTATGGTGTTAATCTTGGGTTACCATGTAACGTGGAAGTGTGTGTGTGATTAAAATACAAAATACACATGTTCAGATGTGATACTGAATCTACTAGACAACACCAGCAGCAGCATTTTGTTCCAGACAGGTTTTCTTTCAACATCAAAACCTGGGTAAGGGAAAAGGACATTTTGAAGAATGAACTTGTTGTGCATGGGATAGGGTGGAGGTTTAAAATATTTTATCTTGTGATATACAGTCAGCCCATTCCCATTCACTGACATTAGGGACACATGGCCCAAGTGAAAGTTTAAAACTTCAAATTAATAAATTGCTATTTTTTACTCTAACAGAACATCTCTCTAGGTATTTCTAGATCTACCAGCACAAGTCTATGATCAACTTCTGCTGCTGACTCTAGATTTGCATTAGAATGCCTAGAGATTTTAAGAGAGTTGTTCTCTGTAGATATCTCTAGGTCTTCAAGCCTGAAGGGCGGAAGTTGACCATAGAGTCACAATGGAAGATGTAGAGAATATTAGCAAGAACATTTCAAATCAAATCTGTTAATAATCAAATCTACAAGTCAAAATCGCAAATGTGGAGGAGTGACTGTAGTAGACTTTCACATTCAGTGAGCAGACATATACCAACAAATGTGTCTATCATGAATTAATACATATGCATCCCTTTTCCTTTGTGTTTTTCTTTAGTGTTCCTTCATTGAGTACAAAGATTTTAAGCTGGTATACAGGCAATATGCTGCTCTTTTCATAGTGGTTGGAATTAATGAGACTGAGGTATGTATTTGTTTCTTAATTATGTAAAGATTAATGCAAATATCATTCCAAGGACATGTTTATGCATGCTTGTTTCTTTACCCTCTTTATTATCCAGTACTATTTTTTTGTTCCTTTCTGCACATGGTTTCCTCTTCCATCACAGGAGCACAGTATAAAGTAGGGATGCAGAAGCTTTGATCCATGAGGAGAAGACTTCCAATTGACAGTGGATTATGGACCCTGAGATGCTTTCCAAATGGAAGTCCCTCCCTAAGCCAAACTAGAGGTGCCCCACCATACAGAACAATTCGATTTTCCTCGGAATGTTAGAAGCCATTTGTGGCAATAGTAATAGCTCTTCAACATTAAATGATGAGAAAACAATTAGATTTACAAATAACTGGAAACTAAGTCAAAACTAGTACTATCATTAAGCTAAAAGGAATACAGTTGAGTGGTATGAACCATAGCAGGAAAATCAGTTCTTTAGCAAACTAAGGAATCCTGCCACACCTCAAAGAACTAAGGACCCTTTCATACAACACATTTATGATGCTATATTCCTCATTCACTGCTGTTGAAACATCCTATGGAATACTGGAATGTACCATCTGGGGAGTATATAGAATTGCCAGCCAAGGAACCCTAATGTCCCACTGAACTACAGACCTCATTATTTATTTATTTATTTATTTATCAATTTTATATACCGCCACTCCCTGGAGTGGTTTACAATATACATATGAGATACATTTAAAATCAAAGAAAAATTTCAATCAACAAGATTCAAATGCCAACCTAAATAAATAAGTTTTACAAGCTCTACGAAAAGATAGCAAGTCTCTGAGAGCTCGTGTTTCCGCTGGCAAGGCATTCCACAGGTAAGGAGCTACCACCGTGAATGCTCTACGTCTAGTAGACATCAGGTGAAAGGTCCTAAAATTGGGAACTTCAAAGGAATTCTGATTGTCTGAACGGAGTGATCTCGGGGGTTGGTGGGGCTGAGGTGGTCCCTCAGGTACTCCGGCCCCAGGCCTTAAAAGTAAGAATCTGCACTTTGAAGGTAATCCGGTGCTCAATTGGCAACCAATGCAGTTGCTGCAAGATTGGAGTGATATGACACCTCGCTGGAACCCCTGCGAGAAGCCGGGGGATTCCGTTTGATGTTGCTATGGCACTTAAAGTGAACTATAAAGTAAAAGTACCCTAAAAAGTTGGCATGAACTCTTGTAAGCAAGAATGTACGAGTAGTGACTTGGAACCTGTATGTCAAGAAGATGAATACTAGCTTGTAAAAATTATGTGTGAGCTAGCTTAAAAATTATGTGTGTGTTAGCTTGAATCCACATACATCTGTTAGCCTGATACTTTCTTGTGATCTGTAGTTGATTAGCTTCTGATTTCAGGATGTGTTTGTTCCATATGTTGACCAAAGCAATTCATCTCCACCAGACACACTTTCTAATGCATCGAATAAAATAGACTTTTGTCTGTGAAAGTTAAATGCTGCAAATTTGCTAAGGATTAATTGTTTGCTATTAGACTTTTTTTTTTTTTTTGCAAATTGCACCTTGAACCCAAATATTAATATCTACATAGCAGCTTTTGCAGTGTATTTGCTTATGGATCTGCCTACAAATCTTAGGGCCCAAGCAAGGGATAGAAGATACCTATTCTTTCCTTAGTAAATAATTGCAGGCAGTGGATGGGTGGAGCTTATGGCAGTGCAGAACTGCAAAACTCCATCTTTCCTTGACCCCTTGTGCATGCACACAAGAACTGCAATATGAAGAAATTTCCAGAGTAGAAAATTTCCCAAAAGCATCCAGCAATCAGGGTTATAGATGTCTGCCTCCATTTTCAAGAAAACTTTTGCTTGAGTCTACCATTTTTTACTAGATCTGTAATCTATGTAAGAAATGCAAATGTAAAATGCAGATTATTCACTGGTTTCTTATTCCCCCCCCCCCCCCCAATTTCAGAATGAAATGGCTGTATATGAATTGATTCATAATTTTGTTGAGGTTTTGGACAAGTATTTCAGCAGAGTGGTAAGTATGATTTACAACCAAATACAATCTCTTTTTTCAGAAAGTTTTGGCAAAAATAATTATTCTTCTTTGTAAATGGAGCATCTTTTTGTGGACAGGGCACAATCCTTTGGAAAGTAATGACTTTGAAGAGTTAGGTGCATATTATGTTGCCTTGTTCTAAACTTACAATTTTGTTCCTCTGTTTTCACCATTCGTTGTAGGCCGGTTTAGCTGAGCATCACTGTGGCCTGATTATTTCTGGTTTGCATGTGGTTTGCACATAGATTGCCATATAAACAAGAATTGCATGCTTATTGTTGGGAGAATGCTTCAACATCTGATGCAGCCAAGACACAGAAGGGAACAGTGTTTGCATGGATGAAGTCTCCATATTTACACTAAATTAATCAAATCACCAATCTTATATAATTAAGTCATGAAAAGAAAAACCAATCCATACCAGGATTGCTAATTCATTATAGCCAACAATGGACTGTGTACATTAAAAATTGTGCTGAATAGATAGTGAGCACTGAAGGTTTTTATGGTACTAATCATCCTTTTGATAGGAGATGGGAACATGCATTCACCCTTCCATAGAGACAGTTGGCCTTGCACATAAAATCTTGACTGAAAAACTAACTGCATGAGCATCAGGTTTTAAATTCAGAGCCCTAGAATGAGTCAGATGGTACTTTTACTCAAGCAGGAAGCCATACTCCTGTTCTGGAAGCGAGACTACTAATACACACACACACACACACAGAGTTATATTTAATTCTATCCAATATTAGAAATAATTATAAAGTGTCCCATATGAAGTGCTTAAATGACCCAAATACACATCACTGCATGTTTATGAAATGCTAGTTTTGTAGCTGCCTTAAAAATGAAGGACAGTCTAAGCAAAAGTTGAAATCCTAATTTTCAGATGCTTCTGCTGGGGCACTAGGGAAGTACTATAACTGAATATAAGCCCTGTGAATCCCGTTAGAATGATAAATCCAGCACTTTTAAAGAATGTTTGAAACTAAAAGTACTAAGATGACAAATCGTCACCCTAGTAAAAAGCACTTGTTCTCTCTCAGAATTTGTTCTTTTCCCCCCATCCATTACTTGGGACACTTCAAGAGTTCTACATTATTAAAGTATTAATTTAGTACAGTGAAAAGAGCTTTCATTTTTTAGGTTTTCATTAGTACTTCAGTCATGTATCGATTCTATTTGTTACATTCTGTTAAAATAGAATAATTCTTACTTTTCATTTCTCCCAGTTTAATAAAGTAGCAATTCTGACCAGAGACAGTCCTTTGGGGAGGTATAAGTGGCACATTGTTATTAGATGACATCATTTCACCAATAGTCAATGTTTCCAAAATAGATACATGGCATCTGTTGAAAATGCCAAAGGCAAGTATAGGGAAAAGGTGTCTGAAACAAGTGTACAGATTTTCAGAAATATTTGTGATCCTCCTTACATGGCAATAAATTATACACATACACACACACACACACACACACATGTATAAAATGTTCCCTGCACACAGCGAGATACACTTGTCATGGCTACTTTTAATATTGCATTGCCATTGCTAAATACCACACCAGCATAAATATATTGAGCATTATTGTCTCAAATTATTCAGATTTGTAGGAATGAAAAAAAAATTGACAGACTAAGGACCAGGGTGCCATCAAAAAGGTGAAATAATTGGAAAGTTCTAACAAAAATCATGCTTGAGAAAACCCAAGAATGTTATTTACTCTGCATTGGTCTTGCAGATTATGGTTTCCTCTTCTTATAAACATGTCAAATAGATTATAGGTGTCAACTATGTCAGAGAACAAAGCAGGTACCAGTATGCCATCCCAAAACATAATTGTTATGGTGAACAGCATGCAGATTAAATGGAGAAGTCTGATGAACAAGATGGAGTCGGTGACTAATATGAAAATAGCTTCCAGTCTACTCAATGCATTTATTTATTTATTTATTTATTTATTTATTTATTATTTCAAATATTTGTACCCCACCCTTCTAACCTTCTAAAGATGTTTGTTGAACTGAGGCCTTTTTTTAGTTTCAGCTAAAGAAACAACAAACAGTCTTTTCTTCTTCTGAACCTATTGTAGTCTCTAAATTTTGAAAAAGACTGAGCAAGGCTGTATCATGAAATTGTTGAGGGTGGAAAAGGGGTCTACAGAAGAAATGAGTTGAATTTTGGGCTCCTGCCTCAATCAGTTAACATGAAAGTATAACCCACTATTATGGATTGCACCTTCATGGTAACTACAAGACTTTCATTCTCTGGAGGAAAGAGGTGATTTATTCAAATTCCTCATGCCACTCCCATTAACACTTCACTGGCTACTCGGTAAACAAACCATCTGGAGCAGCTTTTGTAACCAGGTTTGGGATGGAGTGGTGTTGATGAATATCATCTCCTCCACTCTTCTTCCCACAAGAATTTCAACTAGAATTGTGACTTTTCAGCAAACAGAAGGAAATATTCTGTTAATTGAAGAGCATGTCTTGATTCAGCTCTGTATCCTTTGGGTTGATAAAGAGAGTCTTGAACATTGAGGAGAAATGCCTGATGATGTCAAACCAAAAGAAAATTGCTCAGTTGGATTTCCTGTCATCAGAGGCTTCAATTCTCTTTGTAGTGTATGCCTCATCCCAGTCAGAGCAATCGGCATAGTAAACAAAGAGATCATTATTTTTACAATAAAGAGCAACTGAAAGCAGCTGCAAATGATGTGTGGTTATCTTGATGATCTCTCAAGCTGAAAATGGTATGCAGAAGAACTGAAATCATGGTTGTGCAGTGATCTAATGCCAGTCTTATGCTGTTTCTGAAACTCTTTTTGTTTTTGTTTTTAAACCTTCCAGAGCGAATTAGATGTATCCTTTTGGTTCAATGATGTTGCCTCAGGTGGGCATGCAATGGATTTAAAGTGGTGCCATACTTTGGTTTAGCCTGTAGGCAGATGAGCTGGAGTATGAAGACCAATAGATGTATCTAAATAACAGTATTGGGTAAGTAAATTGTGAAGGTCACAGATGTGTGTAGAAAAATGAAGGCGTTGTGTTTATAGATGCCAGGTTCTTCCTTTTGTAGTTTTATACACAAATTAGTATGAGAGAATGCAAAGAGATGGTTTTAACAGAATGCAAAGAGATGGTCTTTCATAATATAGATAATCATATTAATTAGAAGAATGACTTATTTCCATAATTAAAGCCCAGTTTTGTGTTCTCTCATGTTTGGACATACATTTGGCAGGGCACACAAACTTTATCAGTAGTTGCATCCAGGAAAAAGAGATGTGACTGGCTCCCTCTCCCTCTCTCTTGGGTTTTGGGAGGGCAGCCAATATTTTGCTTCACCGTTATTTTAATCTCCTTGCTCATCCTGTTGCAGTGATACATTTTAAAATAGAAACAATTATCTTATGCTCATCTTATATATAGTATATTTAATAATTTATTTACAGCTTAATTAATTAGTTTCTTTCGTAGTGGCAGCGGACACCTGCAGTGTGGTGTCCCAATCAATCAAAATTTTGGCCAATCAAAAAAAATGCTTGAGGTTTCTTCTGATGGGATGACAATATCTGTGGTTCAGCTCTATGGCTCTATAATTTTTAAGTTTATACATCTGTTTCATATATGCCTCACCTCTGTAAAAGATTTCCATGCCAAATGCTTTTCTCAAACTTCCGATGCATTTTTTTCCTTATAGCTGCTCCCTCAACCCTTGATATTTTTCTTTTTATACTTTCTTCATCTCTTTTCCTTCCTGAGTTTGAAAAAATCTTTTCTCCTGCTGACTTCATGGAAATGCAAAAGGAGAGAGTTAACTATGTTAGACATGTTGGAGGACTCGACATATCTTTTCTCATCCTGGGGTTGGAAGATTTATTTCTATTTTTCTGTATTCTATAATTATTTTGTATTTGTTTCTTCTGTCCACCCTGCTGAACTCCTTAAATTATGCAAAATTCAAGATGTTAAAAGTGGTGTCTGAAGTTAGATAATTAAAGGATAATACTCTCCTAAATGCATGCTAAATATGATCTGTTTGTTTAGGGAAGCAGATTGCGTAATGAGAGGGAGGCTCCCTTATAAGAGCATCTTAATGGAGGTTAGGCTTCATCTAATTAAGAATACAAATGCAATAGGATGCTTCCAATATTGAAACCGTATCAAAACAAAAGCCATGTGCCTTTATAAATGGCTTGAATTAAAACCTTTTCTCCTATAGCTGAAAATCAAAAGTGTTGCTACTTGGAACTTCAGTATATTTGACAAGTCCCAGCTTTGTACATGGCAGAGTGGGTGGAATCATATTAAGATCTTGAAAACAACTGCAGTAGGCGCTGATTTCTAAGAGAGATGAATCATTTTTTTATAAAGAAGATTACAAAAGTGACAGTTGAAACTTATCACAGCAATTTTGTGGGGCAAAATCATGATCTCAAGTGGGAGTAGTTAAAAATACATTGACTTACCAAAGTTCAGATTGGTTTTCTGCTGTTAACAGGAATCCAGCTTTGTGGGAGGATTAATTCGGGTTAGAGTCAAGAGAACAGTTAACCTCATGAAAATTAAAACATAAGATGCTGTGATTGAGCAAATACAAATTGCCATCTAGGCTGCAGTCCCATGCACTTACCTGAAAATAAGGTCCATTGAACAGTCTGGGACTGACCTCTATATAAAGACACATAGACTGCAAAGTGGGGAGGGGGAATACTTTTGTACTACCAAGTTTTGTAATTCCTTAGTCAGCATGGTAATAGTGTGCTTGCCTGGAAATAAATCTAAAGTAATATTTCCAAACTCTGAAAGTTGTTGATTTTAGCCTTGAAATATTTATTTATTTATTATTTATTTATTTACTTTGCTTATATACCGCTGTTCTAAGCCCGGGGGCAACTCACAGCGGTGTACAACATAGACAAATAAGGTTCAAAATTCAGGACACAATCTAAAATATCAATCTAGCAGTAACCAAAAACATCATTATCAAAAACATCAGCAATATCAATAATACAAACAGCCATTCACGTCGTCTCATCGTTTGAACCACAGTCCAGTATCAAATATACTTTACATATAAATATACTTTACAGTTGGATGCAGATGGTGATGGTGATAATGATTATTATTTCTTACCCATAGCTAAACACATAATCTTAAAAACATTCAATTAAAATATAGTTAAAACAAGTAATCATAAAAACAGTCAGGAAAATGCATATATTAAACATATTTCTACAAAATACATTAAAATACATGGAACAAAGATGAAAGTACAATAGACAAAAAACATGAATTTAAAATATTATTTATTATTTATTTATAGTATTTATATTCCGGCCTTCTCACCCCGCAGGGGACTCAGGGCGGATTACAATGTACACAAACATTCAAAAACACACAACACACATAGACAGACAGTCAGAGGCTATTTAACTTTTATGGCCGCCAGGGGAGCAGTCGCTTTCATCGTCCATCTTCGACACTGATGAAGTACTTCCGCATTCCCCGCATGCTTTTTGCCAGAGTGCTTTGCTGGAGTCTTTTTTTTATGGCCTCGTAAATTAGTTAAATTAGCCTCCCCACACATAGGTGGTACCTAATTTTCCTACTTGACAGATGCAACTGTCTTTTGGGTTGCAAAGGTCAACAACAAGCTACACAATTGGTCGGAAGCATACTTCGACCCTGGCTGGCTTCGAACTCATGGCCTTTTGGTCAGAAGTGATCTTAATGCAGCTGACACTCAACCAGCTGCACCACAGGACTTGTGCAATATTCTGCATCATATCCAGTTTTTGCCGTCTAATTTGAGCCTAACTGCATTATTGCATATATGTTAAAACATGTTCAGGTCCAGATACTACAGAGACATATTCTGATTGAAGCAAACAGTTTGAGTGACTGAAATAGCCATGCAACTCACTGGGCAAAAGGCTACTATGCTAGGAGGTGATACATCTGACTATGTGATATCCCCAAAATAGTAAGTGTACAAATCGTGTTTGTGCATGTCTTATGAAATACATGGTGTCCCAAAAATTTCCATAGATAGGAAACATTAATAAACTCATATATGTGCGCGCACACACACACACAAATATATATTTGCAGAAAATTCTGAGAATAATATTTTGAATACAAAATACTTGGTGTGTACAGGCTTTCCCCGAGTAATAAACATCTGATTTCCAAACAACTCATAGTTAAGAATGGGAGTGAGACAACAGGAAGTGAGAGAAATCTACCCCTAGCAAAGGAAATTCACTTCTGAAAGAGTCATTAGGGGAAAAAGGTGTCTCACTTAAACTTTATGGCCAATCTTTATTTCCACAACAAGTCAATTATCCAATTATCACAGGGACTGAAAGTGAGGGGAAATCTGAATCTGAACAGAGGCACAGAGAGCAAAACAAACACCACGAGGGTGTTAACGCCTCCTTCAGATCTTACTTGGTTAGTGTTACACTTAAAATGTACCTGTTCCGAGTTACATACAAATGCAAATTAAGAACAAACCTGAAGAACCTGTCATGTTTGTAACTTGAGGACTGCCTGTAAATTATATTTGCATCTTATTTCCTATTACCGTTGGGGTCTAGTGGATAGACCTGAGATCAAATAGACCTGAGATCAAATTTCAAATTGGTTGTATTCAGAGTGGGAATTCGGCCCATCAAATTCCAACTCCCAACTGCAAAAAAGGAAGCAATTATTCTACTGGCTCAAAAAAACACCGGAAATGTTTATATGAAGTACTGTACTGTATAGCCATTCACAATCTTTTTTGATTACATCATAATCTTAAAGTCAAGATCTTTCCGGAAGTTACTATGAATTGTCTGCTGCACAACGATAGTTTGGTTTTTAAAAACTATTTGATTTTTGCTTCATTTTTTGAGTACGATAGAATTTGTGGAGAATTGGCATTAATTAACCAGAAGTCTTTCAAAAGTCAATGCAGCTCCTAAAAGAGTTAAGCAGATCCTTTGACCACTTGCCAAGAGCACGATGGGCAAACAAGGGAGGAATGGGCTGTGTAGAAAGGGACTGTCTGTGAGCTGCAGTCACTTGATTGATTCTCAATAGCAGATGAAGTACTTGCTGGTGGAATGAAGAGCAGCTAGTTGTGGAATGCTGCCCAGCTGGGTAGGGCTCCCTTGTATCTCACTGGGAGCAAGAGGAAACCTCTCTGGGCTTCCTGTCATATCATCAACCACCAGTTATCTCCACATAATCTTTTAAAAACACTAGACTGTAAGATGGAATGTGCCTGACATCAAATGCCAACCCAGGAAAACAAACCGGCTTTTGAAGCGGAGATCTCTCTCTACTCCATTTTGTAAGCTTGTTGAGTCTGGAGAGGTATTTGAGCAATAATAATAAAAATTAATACAGAATTCATGCAAGGTGTGCGAGAGCTGAATTGGCACTGAAATATTCCTTTACAACTTGATTTTTATGACACGGGGCACCTTTCTTTACTTCCACTTAATGTGCCAGATAATCATTTGGTGCACAAAGAAGAAAATGAATGGATACATTCTATGTAAGAAGTCAGCAGGTTATAGTGGTCTGACTCCGAGGGTCCATCTAGGCTTTGAATCTCTTTTCAGCCATGGATACCCACTGTATGCCCTTGAGCATGTCATGTTCTTTCGGATTTAGAGAAAAGCAGTAGTAAATGTCCTCTGAATAAGCCTTGCCAAAAAAGGCTTGAGGGAGTTATAAATCAAATTACAGAGCTACAGCAACAAGAAGTTTTAAACAATAATAGATTCTCAAGTACTTGGGATATTTTTGACAATCGTTTTTCAAGATATACCAAGAAAGAACATTAGATATGTGCATTTTCTTTGAATATCTTACACTGTTGAGAGAATATTCTCTCAAAACATGGTGCCTCTTCATTTCCACCTGTTATCAGATTGCCTGATAACAGGGGTTCAGAGAAAATGAGGGGCTAGTGAACTTTTTACTTCATTCTATATTGACTTGAGTCTTATTCAGTTGATCTGTTACCTAGGTTAACTAAATGTACAATTAGACTAGTAGGCCTGACTAGCATCATAAACTATGTGCATTATATAGTATTATCTTTTATGAAATCTGAGTTTCGTTACTGTAATTTTGGCATAGTTACTGAAAAGTTTCAAATTCCAACCATGTAATGTGTTAATCAAATTAAATGTTCTGATGAAGTCATCCTTAACTTGATATTTACACAGATCATGTTCAAATTAGACAGAGTACACATAATTTTGGATGAAATGGTTCTAAACGGTTGCATTGTAGAAACTAACAAAACAAGAATTCTTGCACCTCTACTTGTTCTTGACAAAATGGCTGAAAGTTAGCAAGACTACGGCAGCGAAGCATACCACATTCTTCAGACACAAAGAAGAATTAACTCTTTGGGACTCCAGTAATTTTTGTCCACATTGTGGATTTTTTTCCATGTCAGGAGCGACTTGAGAAACTGCAAGTCGCTTCTGGTGTGAGACAATTGGCTGTCTGCAAGGATGTTGCCCAGGGGCGCCCGGATATTTTGATGTTTTACTATTCTTGTGGGAGGCTTCTCTCATGGGGAGCTGGAGCGGACAGAGGAAGCTCATCCATGCTCTCCCCAGATTCGAGCCTCTGACCTGATGGTCTTCAGTCGTGCCAGCACAAGATTTTAACCCATTGTGCCACCAGAGGATCCTGTGATATGAATTGACTCTATTTAGTTTAAAAGTATCTACCCAGTGCTCTCTCCCTGTGAAAATATGTACTATTTTAAATATAACAAAAGTATAGCATGTATATTTTGTGTTTTCTGTAATTCCGTTAAGGTAAGAAATAAATCTTTATATTTCTAAATGTCTTTTTTTTTTGGGGGGGGGGGGAAGGGATCTAGGTTTCACATTTAAAGCCTGTCTGACAACTGTTCCTTAAAAAGCTAGATCTGGCTATGTAATTACCTCCCATTTGGATGAGTGTAACATGCTCTATATAGGGCTGCTTTTAAAGAGTGTTGTGAAATGTCAGCTAGTTCAAAGACCTGTGACAAATTGCTAACTGGAGCAGGTCACAAGAACCATGATTTTCCCCTGTTAAAACAGCTCCATTGGCTCCCAGTTTGTTTCCGGGCGCAATTCAAAGTGCCAGTTGTGAGCTATATGGCTCAGGCCTAGGCTGATGGGCAGACTATCTGCCAGTGTGTGTTTGCTTGGGCCCTGAGATCATAAGGAGAGGTTTTTCAGTTCTACCATCTTCATAACCATGGTTGGTGGCTGTGCCCCTAAACTCTGGGACCTTACCAGGGAGGCCAGAATGGCTCACTCTCTGCTGCCTTTCTGTCAGCTGGCAAAATCCTTTTTATTCCAACAGGCTTTTTAATAATAGAATATTTCAAAGGATGCACTGGGGAGTGCTGTATTGTTTACAACTGTACTTTTAAAAAACAATTTTCCATATTTTAAATTGCAGATGTATTATTTTAACTAAAATGTGGAATGTTTTAATATTGTGATTAGTTTAATTCTATTTTAATGTGCTTTTTAAAATTCATTGCTCTTTTAAACTGTAAGCACTTTTAGTCTCAATGCTGGAAGAAAGGAAGCTGGGTTACAAAAAAGTAAGTAAATACAAGTCATGTGACTTTAAATGTCAAAATTGATTATGTGTACTGTTTCTTGCATCTAATAAATTTCAGCCGGCTAAATGAGGCGCCATTTTGCTGCAACAGAACACTGGAGTTACTCCCCCGAAACCTAGCATCAGGTTGTTCTTAGTGGAGAAGCCTACCGTTCCTTGAAGCTCTGCAATTCCTTAATCTCCCCCAGGCTATTTGAAGGACCAAATCTTCCCATTTGAGCCTCCTCAAACTCTAAAGAGTGTTTCCCATACTCTGGTCTTCAAGGTGTTTTGGACTTCAACTTCCAGAATCCCTGGCCATTGGCCAAGGAAGCTGGGGCTTGTGGAAACTTAAGTTCAAAGCACCTGGAGGACTAGAGTTTGGAAGTCACTGCCCAGGATCTGCAGGTGTAGAGGACACACTTCTCTCATTCCTACCACCTTCACCTGCACAGCTGGTTAGGAACACAAGAGAAGGCATTCTCTGGGACAGTTCACAGAGTTTGGAACTCCCTCCCCAAAGAACTTCAGATGGCTCTTTCATTTCATCTCAGTGACAGGTTATTTTTTTTTCTTTTTCAGTAGTTGGAAACTGATTTTAACAAAAAAATGACTGTACTGTTTTTAATGAGTTTCGAAGTAAGATGTTAAGTGTTTCTAGTATTGATTTTGTATGCTTTCAAAAAACTACGTATGTTCTTTTGCATTCTTTTTGTAAGCTGCCTTAACTCCCAGCCTGGAAAAAAGATAGGATATAAATAAAGTGGTGGATGGAATGGATAATATCCCCAAAGTCCAAAGCTTTAGGTAATTATCTTCACTTCCTTAAATGAAGCATCTGGAGTTGGACCCTGGGGCCAAAGTGTAAATCAGAAGGCGACTGCTGTTATTTGCTGTAAAGTTAATGTCAACTTATGGCAAAACTATAAATGAGAGAACTCCAGGTTCATCCATCTTCAACAGTCCTCCTCGTGTCTTGTAAACTCAGGACCAGGGCTTGATTATACAGGGTGCAGCAGCCTAACTTCCTTTTTTCAAAACTTAATAAACCCCATTGCATGAACCAGAATTTTTTTTTATAATGTGGCACATACCTAAAGTTTTGTTTTACGTAGTTTTGAGATCAAATTAGGTAGGTGATGTACCCCATTCTCCATACACTGAGTAAACCGATTTCTGGCGTTTCTCATGACTCTTGCCAGAACAGCAGGCGTTATGTTGGCAATTTCTTCCTGGATGTTGGTCTCTAAATCTTGTAGGGTCCTTGGACAGTTCACATAAACACGGGATTTCAAAAAACCCCATAGAAAAAAATCACAAGGGACCAAATCTGGAGAGCAGGCTGGCCACTCCAAATCCCCCCTAATTGAGATGAGGCGCTCTGGGAAGTGTTCCCTCAAAACAGCCATAGATGCTCTTGAAGTGTGTGCAGTTGCACTGTCTTGTTGGAACCAAATGTCCCCTAAGTCCAACCAATCTAAACTGTGGGGAAAAATTCCTGTAACATGTTTGCATACTGGTCCGAATCACTTTCACTGTGACTTCATTTTCCTCAAAGAACCAGGGACCAATAATTCCAGCTGAGGAAATTGCACAGCACACTGTGATTTTAGGTGAATGCAAAGGCCTTTGAAGCAATTCTCAAGGATTGTTGTCAGCCCAGTAGTGCATGTTTTGTTTGTTGACGGATGCACACAAATGAAAATGGGTTTCATCACTAAAAAAAAATCAATAGCGCCCTCAGGAACAACTTCAAGAAGAACCTCACATGCGTTCCTCTGAGAATTGAAGTCATGTTCATAAAGTTCCTGCGCAATCGCCATCTTGTAAGGATGGAAAGTCCAAGGGCAGACACATATTTGGGCGTAGAATGCCGTGGTGAACGCAACATTGAAGCTCTCACTGCCTCAATGTTCTCAGGTGATCTAATGGGCCGAGGGACACCAGTTCTTCATCTTGTCGCACTTGCAGTTTGAATGTAGTGACCCACGTCACAATTTATTTCCGGTTTGGGACGGGCCAATGGGATAAATTAAAGCGATTCCGAAAGGCGTGCTGGATTGCGATCACAGAACATCCACTCGAAAAGTAGGCCTCAATGGCAAAAGCATGCTCCTCACTGTTCCAATGCATGATGGCGACTGAACTGTCAGAACAAAACTTTATAGTTCCGCCTCTAGAACGAGACCACTAGCGCTCCGCTACGTCTTCAACCGACTGAATGGTGCGCATTTTAAAAAAGGAAGTTATGCTGCCGCACCCTGTATTACTCCAACTGAGTGGTCTCCCTTTTTCCTACTGCCTCCCACTTTAGCAAGCATTATTGTCTTTTCAAGTCACATTGCCTCATGATATGTCCAAAATAAACGAGCCTTAGTTTCTAGAAAGTAAAGGCATAATTTGCTTTAAAATCATTTGTCTTTTTAGGACTTCATTAGATGGAGCAGGGGGAAATGGGAGAAAGCCGAGGGAAACAATCTTACCCCATTCTCTCCCGTATTTCCTGTATTGAAGGATGGCTAATCATCCCACATCCTGAACTGGCTTCCCCCCCACTTCCTCCCATCTTGAGGAGGTTTGGAGTTAGATAATACCCGGCTCCTGAAAATGGGTGCAGAGCTCCATTTCCATGTGTTTAGGAAATTTAGCTAAACAGTCCCACCAGAAATGCCCTTACGTCACGTAATGACCTCCGTGGGACTCCTGTGGGGCTCAGTTTCTGCAGCACATGGAAAAGGAGTCCTACAGCTGTCTGATGAGGTCCTTAGTATCATTTCAGATGGCCCATTTCAGAAAACCTTTTTTTCTATCAGCTTTATCCAGCTTTATATACATACATAGAAAACAGAAATACAGTGGGCCAGCAGGTGATAGCAACATACCAGAGGCAGCATCAAAAGGCTAACCACACAGTTCCTCTGGCAATTGCAACAGAACCATCCTACTTTTCCAGTTCGCCAAATCTGGTTTTCAGGTTGCAGTGGGAAGAGGGTGGGAATTGCTCTCTACTATATGATGCAGACTAGCTTCTCTGGACACTGCATTATCACCAAGAAATTATGTTTTACACCATAGCAACAGATGCAAAATGAAAAACTTTAATTTTTTTTTTAAAGATCAGCCTTCAAAATAGTTATTTTTTCTTTTTGGTTTAAGCCTTTCAGCAATATAAAAACAATTGTAAATCATTAACATCTGAATGCTGGAGAATTGTCCCACTTCACCTACCACAGATAAAACCGTTGTATCCAAATGATCAGAGTTCCCTGATGTGGCCTTCTTGAAGAGTGAGACTTGTGATTCAAACCGCAGCAGTAGAACGATATTTAAGAGTAAAAGAATGAGCAAAAAAAAAAAAAAAAGATGTTAGAGATGTCTTGTCAGATATGCAGTCCTCACGAGTCCTTCGATGGATAAATGAGTAAGGAGGTAAGAAGACTGGTATATAAAGTTATACATGTTCTTAGAGAAATTGGTATTTGAGGGGTTCTCTTCCCCCAAACCATAGTATTAGAACTCTGCCTTCCCAGAAGGATTTATCCAGTCACTGTGGGAACTTGCAAAGGATAGGTCTCCCATTTAAATAGGTCTCTGGCTCTGGAAGGTCTTGACATTCCTGCACTGGTGCAGAACAACCCATAAGTGTGAGTCACAGAGACAGTGAAAAACAAAGATGTATTACGTTATGTTTAAGTGAAGCTTTCTTATATAGTAATTTAAGACAGAAAGCCAGGCTGCATTAAAGTTTAAATACACACAAGGTATACAAACTTAAGAATGCCATCGTGATTCACCATGGCTAGTCTACATTCCATGGTTGTCCCAAGGCACATCAGATAAAAAGTCAGATCATACATTTAGAAGTATTTGAAGCACTCAGTAGATCTGGCTGCTACTCCTCACCTCTGTCCAATGGGTGGAGAGGAAATAAAACACCCTTTCCTTGGGCTGAATTTAGCTTCTTTTCTACCAGTGGGAATATTCCCAGAGTGCAGTTCTGTTCAAAATGCTCCCACTAATGGAAGGGATGGAGGACTGAGTGTCCTCTCCTGCAGCACCACCTTTACCTCCTAACCGCTAAGGGACTGCTTCTAGGTGACACCAGATTGTACATAGAGGATGCATTAGCACAGATTGCTCGTGTTTCCTGCTTAGCTGGCAGAATAACTGATGCATCATAAGCCTCCTGTTACAGGACTGCATGATTCAATCCATTGTTTTTAAAGGTACAAGCTCAGTCTATT